GCCCTTCGCCGTTCCCGGAAGTTACTTACTTCCGGGTTCGCCGACCAACCGGTTCGCAGGGACCGCCGCGAACTGGTTGAAACCCACCCTTGGTGGGGACATACAGTAACAAGCAGTTCCAAAAGTGAAAATGTGAGAAATAAGCATCAGACATTCATTTAGTCATTTAGTAGATTTATATCCCACTTTTCACTCAGGTGATATGCCTAGTCCTATATGCCTCACAACAATCACCTTGTGAGAGAAAGACTGGCTTAAATTCTCTTCCCCCATCCCCCACCCCCAGCTAAGAATCTAAATCTTCCCTTCCTAGATGGACACCTTCACTGACATGTTAGCCTTTAAGGCTTTTCAGCACTCTGTCTCCTTACCCTTCTTCAACAGCTAGATATTTTTTATTAATAACTTGAAGCCCAAAAGATCAAAAACCTAATCTATTTTGCCTCTGAGGAATAATGAGAGAGAGAGAGATTTCAATTGCCCAAAATCCATTTAAAACAACAGACTTTTACTAAAGCATATAACACCATCACCACCACCTCCCCCCACACACACACAAACAGTAGAAAAGAATAATGAAATGCAGGCTTTAGGATTTTTATGTGATTTTCCTCCCAGGGAAAACAAGCATTTGGGTGGGGGGGTGATATTTAAATTAAATACTCTTAAATTTGTTCCCTTCAACTTTTGTCCTGCAGCTTTCCAGTCTTCAGATTAAGTGGAGGCCTCTTCCAGAGCTGAAAGGATAAACCAGATCTTGCAAGAGTAAGCGAAGAATTTATATCGCCCTTTGTAGTCCATCATTCTGAGTGGCTTAAAAACTGCCACTCCTCTGGCCCCAAAGCCATATGTTTCATTTTTTTTCTTTACTACATTTATATTGAGCCCTTTCTATATAAAAAATAATCTCAGGGCAGTCATAAAAGTGTCCATGCCAACTGTGTTTCTGTGTCTCAAATAAATTTTGGGCAGATAAATCTGCTGAGGTACTTTCTCGTTTTAAAAAAAAACAAGGTTTAGCTTTATCAGTTGGGGAATTTAAATGCCACCTTGAATCACAAGAACCAGTGGTGGGTTTCAAAAATTGTTCGAACCTACTCTGTGGGTGTGGCCTCCTTTGTGGGAGTGGCTTGATGCCCATGTGACCAGATGGGAGTGGNGAGAAGTCTAAAGCCTGTCATTTTCTGCAACAATATCTAGCTATACACGGAAACAGACCGCACGTTACGTTGTTTATTACAAGGAAGACCCAGTTTTATAATCCCTGCATCTAGGCAAGGCATGCTGCAATCTTGGATTGCCTGAAAGGAGTACAGGCACTTTTTTCCACTTTTTACTCATGCTGACCAGTTTAATTTTCCTCTCGAATACTGGAAGCATCAGGAGCTTTGTTTAAAAAAAAATTGCATTGCATTCTGCACCCAGAATCTTAAAATAACCACCAATTTCCTTCTTGGCTTCTATTGCCCAAGAGCTACTGCGGCTGCGCTACAGCAGACAGCAAAAACCGGTCTTGTGCAATCTCGTTGAACAGTTGCAGGAAGCCCCGCCCACGTCCCCGCCCCCGGAGACCACAGCGCTCAAATCAGATGGGCCGCCATACTGACGCTATCACGTGCTTGGTCAACTCACTTCCTATGTACTGACGACAGGAAAATAGAAAGTCTCTTCATCTATGGTTACGTTTGTGAGAGGGCGGAAGAAGTCCTACTAAACATATGCCCGATAAGCAACGCGTCCCTTTGGACATTCAGTTCCGCCTTAAAATTGCTCCGCCAGGGTTGTTTCATTCCGGGCCGGGGCTGCTGAGTGATCAAGGCTCGGCTCTACTTAATGGCCATGGCGAGCAGCAGCCTGACGGAGACGCCCCAGGTTGGCTGGGCCGTCTCTGCCGGCACCCCCCGCGTCTCGGCCGCCTGTTCCTGGAAGTGTCCGGGCGATCTGGCGAGGGTTCTCTGTGTCGTCCCGGCGGGGGGATTCGATGCGGAGGAGCTTTCGGAACCAGCCCCGAACGGGTGAGAAAGTCCTTTTGAGGCTGGGAGGGAAAGTGGGACAAGGCCTCAAAGCAGGGTGCTCGAGTAGTTCGTTGCAGGCTCACATTTCCGGGTTTAGAAGCCCGTCATTCGTTTAGGCCAGTGTTTCTCAACCTTGGAGACTTTCAGTCCTATGGACTTCAACTCCCAGAATTCCCCAGCCAGCACAGCTGGCTGGGGGATTCTGGGAGTTGAAGTCCACAGGACTTCAAGTCTCCAAGGTTGAGAAACACTGGCCTAAACGAATGACGGGCTTCTAAACCCGGAAATGTGAGCCTGCAACGAACTACTCGAGCACCCTGCTTTGAGGCCTTGTCCCACTTTCCCTCCCGGCCTCAAAAAGGCCTTTCTCTCCCGTTCGGGGCTAGTTCCGAAAGCTCCTCCGCATCGAATCCCCCCGCCGGGACGAC